GTGATTGTTGCCACCTAAGATCCATTATACAGTCATTCTATCATACAGAAATTAAACCTTGATATGAGGTCCTGCCACCACACATGAAGAATAAGAAAACCTCTCTCAGAAACCTTTTGCATTGATGTTTGACATAATCATGTGTTCACGTCCTTCATGACAGGTGTCCAGTGTTTTCAGGATTTTGAATGTAGCTTTAAAAATGGTCCAGGTTTCGTAAAAAACGTGCACTCAGGAACTGATATGCAGAGTTTTACTCTTGTTTGTAATACCAGAACCAAGGTTTTTACAATTTTTGGATGAAATAGGGTTTTGATTTACAATTCTATCAGGATTCAGTGCTGTTCACAAAGGACAAATCATCACTGTCCACCATATCAACATCTGATCAAAGGAAACACCCTCCAGCCATTAGAAGGTTTAACAACCACAACTGTTCAACTGTCAATCTCGCCAGCCTTATTTCAAGTTAATTTAATAAGAACCTATTCATCTATGGAGGAATTTTGTTGCACAGTCTTACCTCATTTCTGCATACTTTGGAGCTCATGGCTGAAACGTCAAAATTCAAGGTTTTCAAACTTGAAACGGGCTCCTTGGGCCACGCTGATTTGACAGCCTCTATTGTTGGAGAGGTATAGCCATTGTCGGCCACAAGTAGTTCTTGTCAGCCCGGCCGATTTGATCCTTTGTTTGTTTTGCAGCAAACCCAGACAATTACAGCATAGGAGAGACTCTCTGACAATGAAAGTGTCAAATCAATGGGCTCCAGCAGTATATTATATGTTGTGAAGGAGAGTTCAATAAGCCAGACAAAATGTTTCAAACACACGTGTCTCAGACTGCTTTTCAAAACGGCCTGTCTGAAAATCGTTGTTACTGCACTCTGAGAACAAAGTAAATATTGTACTTCACCAAATTGCTTAAGGACTGACTCTGTGTTAAATTGTATGTGTGTTAATTGTGATCAGTGTTGCACTCTTGAACAGATTATTTACAGATACACACGAGTGATTCCTTATCCCCCCACTGACTGAGGATATCCAATGTCCTCTGTTGTACCATGCATTTCAGTTCAAATGAAAAAAGGGAGGATTTGAATCACGTCTTGGGATTTTGACAAGAAAAAATAACCCTTTTTTCTGTATTTGTCTTGTCTGTCTCTTTAAGCCCTTGGACTTTGAGACAAAAAGTGGCTTTGCTCTGAGAATAGAAGCCACAAACAGGAACATTGACTCCAACTTTTTGAGCTTGGGACCGTTTAGCGACACTACGTCAGTAAAAGTGACGGTTCAGGACGTGAATGAGCCACCCCTCTTTTCTTCAACGCTCAACAAGATGGTCGTTTCAGAGGACGCTAAAGTGGGAACCTCAATCGGGAGAGTCTCTGCCCACGACCCAGATACATCCAGCAGTGCAATCAGGTACACAGAACCGATTCTTCCACTGTTTCATGTAGATGTTCAATTGAAAAAAAAACTTTCTTTCGGCAAGTATTTGAAAAAATTATTTTACCGAGTTTGTTGTTGTAGGAGGTACTTTTTCCAAATATCCAAATAGATTTGAATAACGGTCTTATTCAGTGTTTGGAGATAACTCCTCCGCATTATCTCCAAACACTGACTCCTCAGACCATTGAAAGTCCCCGTGTGGCTGACACAAAGAATGCGCCAGATGGTGGGTAGGCCAAGGAGCGCAGCATTTGCAAAAGTAAAATGCCATCTTGAACAAGAGAAGGGCATTCCTGCAGGAGGGTCAGGGTTTTCGAGACGTGTGCCGTGGCATTTATGACTCAAAACAAGCCCCTCGGATTGTAATTCTGTGCAATGTTTCTCTGGAGATCCCCACCCCTTCCTAATTGAATGAATATTGTATGGTATTCATCCTTGGTCTGTATGGATTGTTAGTAATCTTAATCAGAAAATCTAATTACTGCAGCATTGTATCTTTAGATTGCTTCTTTTTGCCCCTGTGACTGTTATCAGAATCAGCAGTATATTTCAGTCCATCTGTTTGAATTAAAATTATTGTGGAACTAATGCAGCCACAAGAGTCAAATTACATTATAATAATACCCCATGGATGTATGCTAATTGAAGCTGTAATTTTCTCTCGAAATATGAGTTGATGCCTATTGAAAGCGCCTGATTAAAGTTGTGTGAGATAGACAAAAACTGTTAATATCCATCAAGATTTGATAGGGGTTGGTTTCACTTGTGCTATTAAGTTCCAAGTTGTTGAAGTTTTTTTCTAAATGTATTGTTATTATTTAATGTCTAATAGATACCAGTATCAGATATCATACAAAGTCTGGACATAATTTATTTCAGATTGAAAACAGCATAATTATAATCGTTATTATAATCTACAACCACGCACACTCACAATAACACTCATGACTACTGACAAGTCTACAAATAGCCTAACATGCATGTTTTTTGGACTGTGAGATGAAACTGGATTATTAAGAAAGAACCCACTCATGCACACTGGGATTCAAACCAGGAACCATAGAAGAAACAAATACCTGCAAAATGTTTAGTTGGTACATTTAAAACTTTAAGTGTACGCTTTAGTAAGAGTGTCTTTTCTTGCAGGTATTCCATTGACAGGAACACTGACTTGGAGCGTTTCTTTAATGTGGATGCCCTCAGTGGGATCATCAGCACGGCCAAACCTCTGGACCGGGAGGCCAACTCGGTCCATAACCTCACCATCCTCGCTATTGAGAGCCGTAAGTTTAACAGCAAACACTCTCAGAAATGTTAGATTAGTCAGAGCAAACAGCATGTTAACTGAAAAATGACTCATTCGGGCGAGTTTACTGAGTTTGAAGTGGGAGGAGCTAGATTTTGGTACTTTTATTTTGCACACAGAGCACAACAATGGCTGAATTTTAAAAATTCACACAGTGGGGGTTCCGCCTCAATAGTTATTTTAGATTTAGCAGCTTTTAGGTTGTTTAGTAAAGCTGTGTGCCTATACTATCCCCTACTACTGCCTTTTATTCAGCCTAGCTCGATCACTCGTAATCAGAAAATATAATACAGCCGAATTTGAGGCTTTTTTATAAGCAATGGCATTTCAAACGTTTGCTTCAAGTTTGATTCACAGCTCCACAGAGACACAGCTACTTTCAGGCCACAGCGACTCTTAAGCAAGTGTGATATAAAGAAATCTTTATTCAAGTTACCAGCTACCTACTTAAGGTGCCTTGAATGTCATGGAATGCAGTAAGAAAAACTAAAACTGACTCCGTGGGACAAATAGATGACTGCTGGTTCTTTATTTCTACCACCTGTATTAATACCACTACTTGACAAGTGAAGGTGTTGTACATTTTTGACCAGAAAATGTACTGTATTTTAACAGCACATGTCATGAAATCTTCCCCTGGGGCTTAGCAAAAGTGTCAATCTGTCGGTTTGATGCCGCAAAGAAGGAGCGAATCAAATATTTCCACCGTACGCTGCCAATACGTTGACTGTGCGGCGGACATTACGGCGTAAAGTTGTGGAGTTATCGCAGGGCTGTCAGGGAATGTTAATTCACAAACACACGGCGGCCGTTCTGACCTCCATGTCTCCCTGAGCCGTGGGGACGAGATGCTGACTAAGGGCGGGCCGCTCTCACCCACGGGTGAGCAATGTTAATGCGATGTGAAGAAGTGCCGCGTGCCTTTTTGTTCATCTGTCAATGCTCCAAGGACACTATGCCCCCCCCCCCCAACCCCCACCCCTCACCCCCCCCACTTCACATTCCCATCATTCCGCTGCCATCGTGCAAACACAATGGACAACAATCCTCAGCACATCATCCACTGAGCAATCGCGACAGCTGCGTCACATCAGTATAACTTTTTTTTTAAAAAGACAACCGGGCTGTCAGCCTGGCACTTCCTCTTCTTTCATATTTTGAAACCGAGTGCCGTGTGAAAAGGGTTTTCTTTTTTTTTTCCTTCCAGAACCTTTTACGCTTCTTTGCTTCAAAGCCGTGTTTTTATTTACATCTCACAGCACACAGATGTACTCCTTGGTTGATTCCTGAGTGTGAGTGCTCGCCTGATATAGCAACAAAGAGAAGGCAGCATATATTAATAACCATATGAAATACCACAACGGTCCCTCATGCATGAGGGACTGACTTCTGACACATAGTGACACTCGTGCACTATTTTCAACTGAGAACATCTTTGAATTGAACGACAGGCAGCAAAAAAATTCTCTGGCCTTTGCCGCCTTGTGACAGTATTTATAGTAAATGGGTTCCTCGTAACAGAACGGAGTGCGGGGAGGGGGGGGGGACTTTGGGTGACGGCCGTTGAGCATTTGAGCGGCGGTCACTCACATTTCATCTGCTCTGTCCAGACCGCGGCGATGACAACAAGTCTGTGGCCCCAGGCCCCGCGCGCCCTTTTCATCAGCGTCAAATCGGCCGGCCCCCGAATGTCAGAGCTAGTCTCCTCCGGCCGCCGCCGCGGCGACGCCAGACTAAATCACCGTCGCGCACTCAGACGCAAACCATTTAGCCATCGCTGTGCGTCAACGTGACAGAAAGCGTGAAGCTCCCCGCATCACGGACGCGGCCGGGCTCTAATCACTCCGGCTGATCCACAGCCGGGCGGGTAATGACGCCAGCTGTTGGAAACGGGCCGCACATTTCACCGCCCGCCGTCTTCGGGATTAATTAGAACACACCAGATAGATCAGTACTCCACGATCTGGTCAAGTGCAACGAGGTGAGATTAAAAGTCGAGTTCTGCTTGAATCTTTGACGCAAACCAGGGCCCTCTCCCTTGTTTTTTTTTTCTGTTTCAGAGGACCCGACCCAAATCGGGAAAGGCACTGCTCTCATCACGGTTCTGGACATAAACGATAACGCCCCGGCTTTCGCCATAGACTACGAAACTCTGCTGTGTGAAAATGCCATGCCCGGACAGGTAAGACCCCCAGACATCCCTGCAGTTGGTCTCATAAAACCCCCCCACCCACCACCCTTTTATTTTCTTTCTTTCTCTACACTCGTTGAAGTTTTGACACACAAAAACAGCTTGCCGACTCTCGCAGCCATTAAAAACTCTCCTGTTCCTCAAGACACGTCCGCTGTGAACACACGGTACCCACAATGGCGCCTGTGGTTATGCCAGGTAAACAGCATCATTAGGAGGAGATGGAGCTTGTGTTTCCGTATATTAGGGATGTGGCTCGTATTCACTTTTTCATCACTGTTTCCGACTGTGGCTGCAGTCTTGATCCACGGTAATATCACAGCAGAACGCTTTATCTATCGGTGGGATGGGCCGGTGTTCTATCAAATTTTGACTTATCATTCTAAAGCCCAGTGTAATTAGATCATCTCCAAGGGGGGGCAGACAGGGAGGAAAATCTTTGCGGTATTGCACAGTGGTAAGCAGATGGGATTCAGGGCTGGAAGATTTTCTCCAGGAAGAGAGGGGAGGAGTAGAGGCTTTCTCCATACATCACATTTCCCCCATTGTTGCTAAATGACTTGTGTATTTGTGGCAGCCATTCGTCTGCTCTTGGCATTTGGAAAATACAATCAGAGGCAAAGGCTAAAGGAGGTGCATAGACCTGAATAAGTACAATTGATCAGAATGACGCACGGTATTAGAAATGGGTATTGGGCCATTATAAAAATGCTATTTGCATTCGTATTTTGCTTTCGTTTGTTACTGTGTTCACGAGAGGGTGAACAAAAATGGCAAACGATTCGATTTGTGAAAAGGAGAGACAATATTTCATCTGTATTTGTTCTTTTGGCTGTGAGCATGATGCTTGACCAACTTGGCTTTTTTTTTCTTTGAGGTTACTCAACCTTGTGGGTAAACTGACTTATTTTCTTTGCCTTAGATATTTGTGTTTTTGTGTGTTTGTGAGGCAAACTGTGAGTGAGAGTCAAATTTTCGGCCTGCTCGGAGGAATTTCCAGGCATCACTGAATACAAATGTAGTTACTCATTAATAAACACTGCTACTTTAAGAGATGCAAACCTCATTAAGAATATTATCCTTTTATAGGCACTTATTGTTAGACATTTAACACTGTTTGAAATGAAAAGAAAATAGATAATTTACCCAGAAACATGTCAACGTCTCAGCAGTCAAATCAGTGAGTTTGTACACGTCTTCTCTGTAGACACTGACACATCTTGCCACAGAGACTGACACAAAAAATCCTCAACAATAATGTCAGCCTGCCGTTCAGCATCCTCCACAGGAGGTGCTGCTGCACATCTTTATTTTCTCAGGCCGGTCCACCAAAGCCAACTGCTAGCTTGGCTGATGTAGCCAGAAGCCCATCTGCTGTATAATGAGGAGCTGCTACAAAAAGATCCCATATCCTCATCCATCCAACAAGATCATGGGATTAATTTTAATTCTGATGATGCTTAAACACATTGGAGAGCGTTGACCTGGTGTGAACATTGGTGATTGTGGACGTGTGGAAAAAATCTTTCCAAATGACCAAACAGATTAAATAATTTTAATCTATCATTGTTTTACCCAAAAAGAGCTAAAAGTAAATACCTAGACCTAAAAACTGCGATGTGTCAATGGTTTTATACTCATTAGTCGAAACTGTGTGATGTTATTTGCGGCTGCATTGCTGATTCTTTCATTATTTATTAGTTTTTTCAATTTAAATTGAAAATATGCCTGTGAATGGTTATTTTGTTGCCTTTATTTTGCTCACAAATCTCTCATGGAGATCTAGGAGACATCCGGCATCAGACTTTTATATGCTGTCAGATGTCTATTACTAGTTTTTTCTGCCATTTGAAATGACAAAAACATGAAAATTAGGAATCTCAGGAATTCAATCCAGATGCTCTCCTTTCTGTGGACCACAGATATGTTGGAAAATTACAAAGATCCTGCTCAATACCAAAACCCTTTCTCAGGAGAAGGAGTGGCAGTTATGTTGAATGTTTGGTTTCTCAGGGACGGACACTTCACTTACTCAAGGTGGGTCTAGATGAAGCAGTGACTTGGTTGCATATCCTCATTTGTGGTGCTTTACCAATTTGTCTTTAAACCTATCCGATTATCAATGTTATTGTCTTTTTGTTCATATATGAAATACGTCATCTCCCGTGAGAAACTGTGTTTTCAGGTATGCTTCCAGCTACTTTAGTTGGAATTGTGTGAAACTCATAAATATATTTGCAACTGTCTCATGTATTAGATGGGCTGAATATGAATGTGAAGCCTGTATTTTTTTATTATTTTTTATTTGTGCCTTTGTTCACCTAATTGTTGCAGCTGGATGTTTCTTTTATTTTGTTATTTCTCGCTAATTTGAAATTCCATTCAGACTCTTTTCAAATACAGCCGTCTGTTAGGCAACACTGAAGTGTACCAGTGGGATCGCACCTCCAGACTGCATAATGAGGGCAGGCTGGATGGAAATTACATGATGAAATTTACACCCAAAAACACATACAGAGCAAAGGGAAGGAAAGAGGTTGACATTTGAATGTGAAAACACAGTTTGAATTACAACTAGGGTGTTGGCTGTCTGTTAGCAGCTAGACTGGGTAGAATCATTACCTGTCAGATATTCACGCCGCCACCTCCCTGATTCCTAATTAATGAAAAGCTCATGTTGTGTACACGCACGTGTGTGTGTGTGTGTGTGTGTGTGGCTGCAGCGGGGAACAGTCGTCTGTACCGACCGCGCGAGGCTTTGTTAAAAAATCTCTGGCCGCCCACTGACTGTCACGCCCATTGGCTTATTCACAGCTGCGACAAAGATGAAATAATAACGTTTGCCAGTTGGGGCCAGAGTTGACTCGGTGGCTCTGTAGCACAGATTAACGGGGAGCGTAGGGATGGGATAACCTGCCATTTTTCAGGCCTAATTAAGGCAGTCTCATGGCAGTGGCTCTCTCCAGAGATGCCACTTGTTACGGTTCATCGGTGCGTCTGTCTTCTGCCATAATATTAATTGATATCATGATGGGGTGGAAGGGGGCAGGGGCAGCGGGGAGAGTAAGAAGGGAGCGGTCACGTTGTATAATCACTTCAGTGTAACCATTACATACATGAGTGGACTTGGCATTCTGCTACCCCGAGTCGGCTGTCTGCCCCTCCCCGAGGCCCCGCAGTGTCCTATAGGGCTTTAAAAGTCAGAAGTTTTTGAGATGAATTCAAATAAGTGGAGCTGTGGAATAGCTACTTTGCTTTTTGGTGTGGGTTATCCCTGAGATGTAGGAAGAAAAACTGTTTTAAAGAAGGTCTGACTCATTTTCCTTAAAAGACTGGGCAGAAGCCTCGGCAAAGGACGGCGCATGTTAGCCCTCCGTCTGGTTATTTATTGTAATCTGAATAGTTTGCCTCAATCAGCAGTTGGAGCTGCAGAGGTTGACGCGGACATGTGAGGCCGAATTAGCAAAAATCGAGTTGCAAAACACGCAGCGCTTGATTACCATGAGTTGGAGGAACAAGACCGTCTTATTTAAACTGAGAACTGTGAAATACACATATCTTTTACCTTCATAACATGTTTGATTCAACGGAAGAACGTTTTATACACTTTTACTGCAGATAAATTAAAATAAACTTACATTTTTTGCCCCTTCCTTGGATGATTTTACTTTGCAAAAGTATCCGACCTTCATCTTTTCTCTAAAATGACTTGACATCATGCAAAATCTTTTTGTTAAATTATCATTCGCCGAAAATTAAACTTTTAAAGCATCTCTGAAGTTACTGGACAGGCATTTGTATGAATGAAATTCACCTGGAAAAAATACACTAGATTGCCCCAATGAATCAGGTTATGGCCTCAGTCTATATTTTACAGTTTAAAATGTTCAAGTTACCAAGCAGCTGCATGAAAACTGGGGTTGGTTTGATTCCAAACTGGAACACGCATTCAGATTTGACATGGATGTGTCCTTTATTCTTCTATTACAAAAAAAAAAAAAAAATCAAGCCTAAACACCAAGTTACCTTTCCCTGGGAACAAGCTTCTAAGCATAAAAAAATATATATCACACCATAATAACTGGAAATAAACTATTTGAAAAATTCTACAAAAAAATGCATTGCAATGGCTTCATTGATCAAAGTTTTATCCTTAACTCCTGAAGATCAGAACAAGTGTATAGTGGACCTCAACTTCTTACTAACTGTAACTTTTGATGATATTTGGGTTAGTTTATTCTGTTAAAATCTCTTTATTGTGTTTTGTCATCAGTGAGTTATTGCAATAGGTTTCAGATCTTCAGAGTAAGTGGTTGTGTCTCAAAAGACAATGTGCGCTGGATTAATTATTTACTGCAACTTCCTCACGAAATGGGCAAAGTCTGGTCATAATCACTTGTCTTTGGCATCCCCTCAACTATTGCAGCAAGGTGGGTTTTAACCTTCATGACCCAGATAGCCCACAGATAGAAACCCCTCGACAGAAAGTTCTTTTGCTTTTTCGCATACCTCTATTTGATGGAGGATATTCTTTTAAATCAGGAATTTGAACCATTCACATTAGCACTTTTGTGCTTCAGGGTCCAGCTGAAAATCAGTCATGTCCAAGAATGAAACAAGCATTTGGTGCATATCTAGTCAGCCTAAAAATAACAAACATCACACAACAACTCTGAGATCTTTTCAGTTCTTTTCTATAGATTTTTTACATTTTATTTTCCTCCGACCAAAACTATCTCCCATAGCGTTAGCCGATAAGAGTGCATCCTTTACTTCCGTATGACTCACAGAACAACAGAAATTGTCTTCGCACATCCATCTGCCCTCCAAATGATCAGTTCGCTACAGGTGTTGCATCGCAGTGGAAGATTAAAACCGGTGTCACGGTGCAAGGGGGCACGAGAAAAAACACAAGTGAGTGTCTGCTCTGAAAAAAAAAAAAAAAAGACAGAGCATGGGACGCATTTCATCTCGGATCTCGCCGGGAGATGAGGGCCTCAGCAGTTTTGGGTTAGTCGGGATCATGTCGGCAAACACCGCTCGTGACGGGACGAGTCTGGGCAAACGACTCAGACGGCCCCGCAGATAACGAGCGCAGAGATTGAAAAATGTCATTTTGCCGAATGGCAAATATTGATTGCCCCCTTGTGTGTTGGCGTGGCGGCGGGGTTGGGATGCGAGCGTGGGTGCAGCTGATTGGCCGGTGAGTCGCGGGTGTCGCTGGCGGGTGATGTTTGGGGCGTCGATGGCGTGGGAGGCGGCGCGGAGTGAGGGGTGTGAAAACAGCATGCCCACCGCTTCCTTAATCAACACAACCCCTGGTGACAGCTGTCATATCGCCATGGCAACCAGTGCCACCTATTTGATGCGATGCTTATTTATACTCGCGGTTAAACTTGAAGTGACTGGCTTGATCCTATTGTGTGACTCATCTACCAACAGGACTTTTGGTGGCTTAAACGTAAGCCTCTTAGCCTCGGAGCCAATCATATCAGCTAAGAATCTAATAAATACACTTTACAGGCAGTCTTAGACGTATAGCCAGACCAGAGACTTTGGCGAACTAAAGAAAAAGGGGATTAAACTGCATTGCAGTATATGCTTTGCTGTTATTAGAAAAGAGGAACGTGTAATCCAAGCTCATTATCATTCATATTGTAATCCATCTGCATGGCCATGCTACATTAGCTGACATTACTTCCCCCATTAAAAGGTCTTACTTCGGTCTCTGTTGTCAGAGTCTGAGTCCCAGAGATGGGTTTTCTCGGACTTGCTTTGGATTTGTGGTCATTGCAGTTCACCAACACTCTTCAGCGGTTAAATGTTGATCATTTGAACGCCGCACCGGGTGACAACTGACACGTTTCGCTTGGCAGGATGCTATTTGTGGAGTTACCGCGAGCGAGTGCCGAGTGAACAGTCAGGAGTTCTCCTATGAAGGTTCAGCTTCACCCAGGTGGTACGACGTCTGGGGAATCTAAATAACTCGGCTCCAGCGAGTGGAAGCTTCAGTCGAAAAGTTAAGATCAAGAATTTGGCAGGGGATTAAAGAGAAATGTTTTGGTGTTTTTTTTGTGTGTGTGTGTTTTTTTTTTCTTGCACAAGAGCTGCTGCTCACCCAGTGGTATGCGCATCATTTTTTTAAGTTTGATAAAAGTACAAACATTTTTTTTCCCTTCTAGTCACCATGCATTAAGAATATCTTAAAGATATTTTTTTAAATCTTTGTTAAATTGCAGGAAAACTAAGATCAAAAGTTGGCAAACATTGCCATAATATCAAAATGGAGCATATTTTTTAATACTCTGTTTGCATATGTTCGGTTAGCCCGATTCTTTAGTTGGA